AAGAGTTTTAAGTTAATCTTGTTACAGATATTTCAGATTTGTAACCATATCCAATAACTTATAAGCTAACAATCCCTTAGCTGGTCAGCTCTTGTTCTTTCTTGCTAGCAGTTTTTGACCTCAGACACAGAGACTTTAAAAACCATGCCTGGGTCTGAAAAAGGCTGAGCCATAACTCAGTTCCAGACCCAGCTTTTTATTAAAGTGGAATAGCATAAAAACAACTTTAGTATTATTTATACATGAATGATGCGCAAATTACTGTTATTACATTAGGTTCAGTGGCCAGAAAGCCCAGAGGTAAATTCTGAGCCCAGGCAATTAGTTGCAACAGAAACAGTTGATCGATCACCAAGACACATGGAACATAGCAAACTTACACATTCAAGACCAGGGAAACAAACATGCAATGTCCATATACTTTTATATATTTAACTGAGTTTGATGCAATTCTGTGTTGCTCCATGTTTGCAACAAAATTTACAGGCACAGATCCATTTATACATACAAAATAGACAAAACTTTTCCTACCTCCTCTAGTGTTGGAATTTCAGGGGAGGAGTAACTTGTGAGCAATTTAATTTTTGTTTGTTTGTTTTTTTGTGGGCCCAGAGGTGTTGCAGCAGGACTGCCTGCAGGCTTCCCTACTGGAGAAAGCTGTCTACTGGCCCCACATACTGTATTCTGTGAATCCTATGCTCCAAAAACTCCACCATTCCCATTGCTTTTTGATTTGGGATAGATTCTGGAGGGAGAAAGGGACATGCAGCCGGGCATCTAAGAAAAGGCCCAGGGAAGGGCCCCCGGCGGGGGGGGGGGAGGCGAGTGTGTGGATGGGGACCAGGGTGTAGGTTGTGGCTTTGTAGAAGTGGAGAGGGCCAGAGAAGGCCAGGAGATGGGAGGGAGATGGGGAGCAAGTGGAGATAGCGGATGGGGTTGACCATTAGGTGGAGCTTGTGTTGGTAGAGAGGATGGGAGGGCAGTAGGAAGAGGGAGAAGAGAGAGAGGTGTTTCGGGGGGAAGGTTGATATTTGTCACGGAGAGGGAGAAGGAAGGGGTGGGTAAAGATAAGAAGGCTGGCAACCAGGTGAATTATGTGGCAGTGAAGAAAGGGAAGCGGTAGGCGGGGCTGGGGAAAGAAGGGGGATGCCTGAATCGTGGAGCTCCTGGATGAAAGGCATGAAGAAGTGCCATAACCCTGGCCAATAAGGTTTGTGCTTTCATGCACTGGCTATAAAGGGAGAGGCGGGAGCACAGGCCCCCAAAGCCCTAGACATAAGGGAGCTCAGACCATTAGTTCATGTTCCTACAGTTTTCAAGACCACGGAGGATGTTAAAATCAAGAGTGCCCTCTGGTGGCCATTTAGATTGGTTGTGTTTTGACATAAAGTCTGAGACACTCCCAATTTGGATAAATTTCATAGCAGGCACCCCAGAGGTGACTGAAGATCAGGTTTAGATCTGGTGTTGTTTATTCCTGAGCTTGTGTTGGAAACCGAAGACTAGAACGAGGGATCCCCCGCAGTAGCCTGGGATCAAGCAGCGAAGGTTGAGTAGCCTTGGGAGGAAAGCCTTCCAATCCAAATCAAAAGTTGATGGAGTCAGGCAGAGAGTGGGGGGAGTGAAGTGGTCCCCAAGCAGCCTGGAGCCCGGCCCTCCAGCTGGGGGCTCAACTTCTCCAGGGTTTTTGGTACGCGATACAGGTTTCTACCAATGCAAAAGGCCCGATCAGATCAGATTAGAAACAGATAAATGCAGGTTTATTTGGTGTCATTCTTGGCAGGTACACTGGTCTCAAACAATGATTTTTCATTTCTGATTTTATTAATTTGGATGTTTACTCTTTTAGTTAGTTTGATTAAGGGTTTGTCTACCTGGTTGATTTTCTCAAAGAACCAACTCTTTGTTCCATTGATTCTATTGTTCTCTGTGTTTCTATTTTATTGATATTAGCCTTCAGTTTGGTTATTTCCTGACATCTACTCCTTGGGGTGTGCTTCTTTCTTTTTGGTTCTAGAGCTTTCAGATATGCTGTTAAGTTTCTAGCCTTGGATGTCTCAATTTCTTTTATATAGGTACTTAATGCTATGAACTTTCCTCTTAGCACTGCTTTCATTGTGTCCCATAAATTTGGGTATATTATGCATTCA